TCAATCGCTCAATCTCAATACCAGTGTCCTTTGCGCTAGATGTGTACACAAAACACATTAAGCCAACAGCTGGTGATTAATGTATTAATCCTTTAGATAATTACTTTATGACCAGAGCATTTGCAAGCATGCAATTCACAAGCAAAGAAGGACTTTCAAAAGTCCCAGTGGTTGTTCTGATGACATTTTCATGAAAGAAAGTCACTAATACAGGATAGTTAATTAGCCAGTGGTATAGTTTAGAAGGCTATAAAGCTGACCAAATTAAGACCCAGTTGTGTCGATAAGATCAAAATCATTGGTTTCACAGCATAATTAAGTGTATCCTCATAATTAGTTTTATTTAGATGAATACTCTCAACTCCTTGTTTCGATTAACTTGAGAAATACAGATAGCTTGAATGAGGAATGGCCAGGAACACAGTATTTCCAAGTCGATCCTTGACCATGCATGTCTCTACAGTATATGCTCCTTGCGTTGAAGCCACTGCAAAAGGGCTGGGCTGAAATTACCGCGAATCATGTGAGCTGGAAATATCAGCTATCGGAGAAAAGCATGCTGCAATAACATCTCGACTCGATGACATCCTCTCTCGGCAAAACAGTTGATTCTAGACATGATCAAGAATTTTGACGAAACCTTTCCAAAGTTCATCAAGACTTCGGTGACTCAAACCAAACCTGGTGAAAGCTTGTTCTCTCAAACCCATCTACAGTTTCTCTCAACTATCCTACAGTGTCGGTGACCAAGAGTCAAATCTATGATCCTGCATAGAAACTATTCAGGATATGTCTGAAGTCCTCACGTACGAGGGGTTCACGTATGATATCAAACTTAACTTGATTTATCCATCGCTAGCCGGATATCCCTGCCACAAAAATTTCCTCAGCTGAAACCTAGTCCTAGGAAACAGAGTCAAAATACAAACATGTTTGTAGGTGAATGAAGGATGCTTGGCTATAGATGGAGAGTTATTTTTTCCCTTTCAGAGCTGTTTAAGACGAATTAGCCTCATTGCTGGGAGAACATAAGAAGTAGGTGGATCAGATACAGTTTCATTAAAAAATTCAAGTTGTCCAGGCTGGTTAATGCTGCAATTTTGTTCTTGGCATCCTTTTTCCTGCATCCAGATGTGATCCCAGTGCGTTGATGTTTCCACTTTTAGGAGACCTCCAGGAAACGATCAATGACCGTGGTCTAGATGATAGACTTTAGCATCCATCGTTTATTAAAAGAAGAAATCAAAGTCGACTGCACAGAAGAAGGTTCAGCGTATCGTGTGTCGCATTACCATCTCATCATTTGCTTTTGAAAGGGAGAACTATCAACTGGTATCGATCAAGATTAGTTGTGAGTGTTAGAATTTATGAGCTACTTGAAAACGATTCCCTGCTTTCCATCAATTCATGCTTCCCACAAAACTCATTAATTCTAAAGCATGATCATTCCCTACAGGCACGACATCTATAGCATCTATGAGTAGTAAACAACTGACAATTTCGAAGAGACGCAATTCATGTTTCCTCATATTTTAGCCGTCAACAATCCACAAACATGGCTTGTTCTGCAAATTGAATAATCCCTTATATCCACAAATACATGCTATGAGGTTGCGACCCACTGCACAGAGACACCTCAAACTTGACTCGTCGAAAGGCAGGAAGCGCAATCACATGTATTTCAACCACCAGGATATCATTTAATATGCATATCGCCGATCAGGGGGATCTCATGCGGTGGTTGGAGTACAGTGGAGGCCATCAAGCTAGCCCCTACATGTGTCCACCCTACTGGGTTTTAGGAGTGCTGGGTTCATGGGATCATAGTGCTCAGCATTATGAGTTTTCCAGCCTTCGCTTGACATTGGGCTGATCTAGTTTCATATTTCAGTCACTGAATTAAAATATTCTCAGTATTTCAATTCAAATGATTTTATTTCTCATGCAAAACATAATACAATGAATAAGTACCAAAAATATACGATGAAACGACAAGTATAATAGAAATGGCTTAAGAAAAGAGGAAAATAACTAGAAGCAGAGCTTGTTCAAATATCAAACAAAGAATAAAGCAAAATCATCATGGTGATGATCAAAACATCATTAATATGAAAATCTATATTTTATGAAAAATGTTCTTTTCTAATATTATGCAAGTTTTAATAGCTTGTACCACTTTTACAACAAACTTTACTAGTCTGTTGCAATCAGACACTTAACAAGCACAAGGTACGATAATACGCCAACGGCGGACTGTACTATACTGGAAGAAGAAGAAGAAGAATCAAGGTTTACTACATGAACTGTCAGTAAATGTTTTTTTAATTTTTTATTTAAGGTCCATTTTCATTCAAAGTTGTTTTGTGCCCTGTTTAGGGTAGCAAATTAATGACCTGAGCGCAATCACCTTTCATCAATGCTTCACTTAATACCAGCTCCCTTGGAGTGCTGTCTAACAATTGATGAATATCTTATTTTGAAATATTGCCACTTGACTGGCGATCCAACGTTTCATGATTTACGGAGCATAGGGTCTGCCAAAGTAGACTATCAATAGTGGATAAGACTGGATAGACCGGGTGTAGGGTCATACCAGTCACATGTCATTTACATTGAACTTGAACTTCAAGGTGTGACCACTATAGTCTAGACTTTGAAACACATGTTCAAAAGTTTGAAATAAAAAATGTAGCAATATATGGTCATGGTTAGCAGAGGATCACTTTCTAAGGGGGATATAAAAATGTATGTGTGTGTGTGTGAGTGTGAGAGGGGGGGGGGGGGGGCTCTACACAGCAACATGTATCCCAAACCTTCAGGTTTATTGTGCAGTTTAACATCAACTTCCTGTTTCACAGAAGCAACATGTACATGGAGATGAAATGCAGTGTAATATAGTTTCACATGCGAATTAATATTGATCATAATACAATTATGCACTTGAACTTTCATCTAGCCAATACACATATTCATCATGCAATGAAACGTCATCTAAAGCGCTGCTTGGTATATACATGTACATGTAAGAGCCTCTTGCCCTATTCGCACAACAAGAAATTTGTGCGTAACTCGTATAAGGAAATATGGCATAAAGAATTATTGTATAGTGAAAGTGGTGTACATACATGTATACATGTATGTAGTACATTAAAAAGCTTATAAGAAAAAAGAAGAAGAGGTCAGTTGTGTATAAAATCAGCCTCAATAACTGCTGGCCGATCATCAGTGAGCACTCACGATGCAAGTAAGTCCTAACTACATGTACATGTACATGTAGATACCGGTATATGGTTTTCATAAGATACATCATTCACATTACAATTGGAACCAGATTCTTTATCAATTTTTTTGTTTGAAATGAAGCTCAACATCCATTCATGGTACGACATTACATTGTATGGTGTTGAGACTAAAAACAAATTACTTAAGCGTATTATGTATGCACAAGTACATGAATCTATACCATTATCATATACATACCGGTAGCTATACAATAAATTGTGCTAGTCTGAATGAGTTAAACTGATGTAAACATACTTTTGATGGACAATGACACAACATCTTGCTCTGTAGATCTTGGCAAGGCTGTCCTAGCACGGCCCTAATCTGTGAGATCATCTCGATGGCAATGCACTTCTCAAAAAGGAAATATTACGCTTTCTAAATTCTATTTTTGTTTTACTTTGAGTCAGCAGTGTTATCACAACAAAGCAAAGAAAGAGAACCAATCAGACACAAATGATGTACTATAGTAAAATAGTAGGGAATACACCAGGCTACAGAACTTTCTCCTTGAAAAGTAGGAGGAGGTTCCATGTTATTTTATTTTTTTGTGCAAACTCAACAAAAGTTATTGAGTCAATATCAACCTATATTTTGTAATGCCATTTGATTTGTAAATGCACTACAGAGGCTCGGAACAAATTATGCAATATTCACTTTTGTTTATTAACCTCATAGTTTAAAAATCTTCACATTCTTCTTTTTTTCATTCAATAACAAATTAAATAAGAGTAAAAGGGAGGTAAAACCTCCCTCTCCCCCTCCAAAAACAAAAGGTTGAGGAGGGGATATGAAAATGTGTTTCAATTTTATTTGTTCTTAATTGTTGAAAGAATTATTCATTTATACTGGTGTTATGCTGCTCCTCACTGCTCCTCAAAAGTATGATTTCTTGACATATTTAACAGTCAGCATACAAGCCAACAAACATGTTCTTGTAATATACTGCTTTCACAAACAGGAAAACATATACTGAATAATATCTGAATTATTCATAATCCATGAATGATTTTTGTATGGGTGTTTTTTTTTAAATTATCAAATGAAACATGGACTGGTTTAATTACATGTAGGGCCTTTGTTGAATACTTTAAGATGAGCTTTAATGTGTCACATTCTCCAGAAACTTAAATCGGGGCAAACAAAATGTTCACATACATGTACTTAAAAAATGACAAAACTTGGTTATGGAATGAATGATTTACTGATTAACTGTATGTGCATTGGCTTACATGTATTAAAGCGAAACCAACAAGAGCAAGAAGACTGCATTAAGTGGGTGTCAAATTGTACTCCAAACCCTTGAACAGAGAGTAATGAATGTTGTGATTATGAAAATGGGGATGTTCATCAATCTTTAAAGGCCAAGACCACTCCAATGATAGCACGTTGTAAAACCATCAAAGGTTAAAACTGCCAAATATCGATCACTGGCGTACCTCAATCAGCTGATTTTTTAGAACAATTTTTGTTTTGGTTATTTCAAGCAAAACATTTAAATTTGCCGCAAGGATGTCAGATTGTTGATCATGTAATGTGATGAATACTCCTCACAACGAAATACATTCTGACAAATGCTTGAACAGAGAGTAATTATTGTTGTGATTATGACAATGGGGAATTGTATTTATTTAAAACCCAATAAAAATACAGAAAAAAACAACAACATAATGTTTGCAACATGAGCTCCCGGTTAATCATAAGCTTTTGAAACTTACCATGTGAATGCTCTACGGATCGGTCCAATACCGTCGTTACGCAGCTCCTGGCGTGCTTTCAAAAATTCCCGTTGTCTGCTTATGTGATTTAAGTCCTTTTCGCATCCACATGTGTTGCTACGCCAACGAAACATCGTGTCCATGATCCTTTTTCCTCAGGTTTTAGTTTTAAAAAGTTTGCTGTACGTCATGTCATGTCATAAAATGTATCCAATTACATCAATGTTCTGATATTTCCTTTAGGAGAAATGCGTTTTCAAGTTGAGATGAATTATGTTCCAATCAGAGCAAAATATATAAATCCTTGAATGAAGACATATCAACCAAATATTCAGATGGTGAACCAAAAGAATGATGTCACACAATTTTTTTAAATTAAAAAGAAAGCAATCGTGTGGATCATTTGCCTACAAAAATAATACAAAGGCCTATTTCCGTCTAAACCTTTGTAAGTACTTTGTAGGTCCATGATCAAAGGCATGCAGAAGAAGTGGAAAACCTGGAAATCTTGTCTTGCGATCCGAACATCGATTGCAGCAGAATTCTCCTACAAATAAAACTAGGCCTCGATTTGCAGTAAAGGTGAACATAAGCTCATGCAACTCTGAGCCACCGAACAAAGTTGGATTTATAGAAGATGTTTATCTTCATTGAACACAGAAATAGCTCCAAGGGATAAAAACACTTAAAACCTCCTTAAGAAATTCAACTTTTTCAGTTCAATGCTTTTGCTCCATTCAAAACAAGACTTGTATTTCTTCCTAGTGCACAGCCAAGAGGCCATCAGGACTGCAGAAGATAAATTCAAAGCAATATTCTGATGCTGCATTAGCGGAGCATGCTTGCGCATCCTTTCTTAATTGCTTTCTTAACAGTCCGGCAAAATACAAGTAAACATCATTATCTACATCTCCTGTAAATCTAAAAATGTCAATTTCTTCAGTCCACTGCCTCTGTTCCACTCAAAATAGAAATTAAATTTAAATTTCCTCCCAGTATGCATCCAATACACTTGGTCGTCGAAGAAGATCTTCAAGCAAAAGCCCATGAAATGCTGCTTATCAGCTAAGCATGCTTGAGCATACTTGCTTTCTTAACAGTCAGGGAAAATAAACATTGTCATCAGCATCTCTTCTATAATTATAAGGATGTGGCCGATGTGTGTGGAATGCAATTGGAGAGGAGTTTCATCACGTCACAGCATCATCATTTGCTGCTCCAATAATTCTGCTGGTTCTTCACACCTACGGTTGTACAACACTGGGTTCATGAGCAAGGCAAGATGGGGAGCCCACTCCATCCAAGGTTCAGTATAGGCCTGTCTCCATCAGCTCGAGGTTGCCAAATAACCCCCTATTTTATACTATCCCGATCGCAAATTATCCAGCTAATTTGCGACTCCATCAGCCCGCAGTTGCAATTAGCGGGATATTTGGTTGAGAGAATATCCCAAGATATCTTGGGCTAGTTTGCAAAATATCCCGCTACTTGTCCGCTGCATGTTCACCAGCCTGAAGACTCGCACTATGCGCGAACACAGAGCACAATATCTCGAGCCAATTTCTTGAGCTCGAGTTTCGAGGTCGAGTCTCTAACTGATGAAGACGCCATTTGTAACTTCGAGCTTATTTACCAAATCAGATATAGCGGGCTATTTGGCAATCTCGAGCTGATAACGACATACTTCATGATACCAAAACGATGCAGATATTTCCCCTATGTACATGTACATTGCACGCTTGTGATATGAACATCTGATGAAGTAATAAATATATTATACAAGGTGGTGTCAGACACAATTTTCCTGATCAATCTTGAATTACTTAACGATAGTGGCTATCTAGATAATTCACTTACGTAGGTGATAGCCAGGTGACAGACAGAAATTCACCGCAGAGAATGTTCTTGTTTCGTTGTAGGATTTTTCACAGGATTTTTTGCTGGATTATTGATGACAGACAGTGAATTATCTAGATAGTTATTCTCTAGATAATTGGCCTCTGTCTGACACCGCCTACATACAACTGACTTCATCAAAATGACAACACAAAGCATCATAGAGAAAATTAAAAGCTCTCCTTTTTTAACTTCATGACACAAATGCAATTACTAAGAAATTTATAATCACATTGCATGTTCGTAATGAAACATAGTCTGCAAACTAACGAATATGGCAACAACAAAAAAGATCTCAAAGAGTAAACGAAGATAACAGAAGTAAAAGTAAACACCAATTTTTTTTTGGCACTCAGAAAAGGCAATCATTACAAGACACAAACCAATGTAGAAGACAAAATGGTAGAAGACAAACTGGAATTTGCAAACTGGAATTTGTTTCAAGCTGTATTGGAAGGTTAGGATCAATCTATGAAAGACAACCAGGAAATCCTACAGAAGGCCATCCATTACATTGTCCTTTTGGCTGTAAACAATACAATGAGTTTTGGAAGAAAGGTGGATATCCCCTAAAGAATCTCTATTTAGACTCTCCGCCAAACTAAAAAAAACAACACAACAACATAGGCCTACTGTACATTGAATACTGGACAGAGTTATGAGTGATATTAAACAAAAATGATAACAATTGGTGTCTTCTATCATTCAAGACTACTACTAAAAAAAACACCTCTAAAATATCTGTGTACATGATCCAGCAACAAAGGATGGTACAGAGACTATTCAAGGTGATATTCCAAAGAGCCTTTCACAAGAGCAAATCCACAAAGTATGAACGACAGATCCTTAGTTTCTGAGAAAGTTGGACCAACAAACTTATCCTGGACCTGGACATCACAGAACTGCTGCAGCATCGTACATCCCCTGTCCATGGAAAGGTAAGTACAAATTTTCCAAGAAATTTGAACTAACAAACACTAGCAGGAACCAGGAAATCAAAGTCTGGCTGCAAAATGTTCTGGTGCTCCAGTTTCCAAGAAAGAGGACCGACAAGTCTGACATACATGTAGACCCGACGATCAAACAACATGACCTGCTGCAAAATGTCCAAACTTTCCAGGAAAAGGAAATGATTGAGATGAATGCAAATCTCCATTTTCTAAGAAATCTGAACCAATAAACTTTGTCAAAAAGTATTACCACAAGATGGGTGGATAATGTGAATACAAATATCTTATTTGACCAATAATTGAACCAAGAAACTGATCCTGGACTCGCTAAAACTATTGCTGCAAAGATTCTCTAATGTTTTAAATGCATTCCAAGGATAGACGGGCGAACGTATGAGAATGTCTGGTAGTAGAAATCCAACCCTTCTCGTCTCCTTCCAAGAATCCAGTCTACTACTACTCATGAATGTGCTTCATCACTTTGTTCCGAGTAAGACTATCAAGATGGTGATGATGATGATGATGATACCTCTCAAGTTCAAAATTCCAGCAAATTAATCCACAAGATGCCCTAACTGACTCCAGCTCTTCCCCCTCACGAGAATGACATGTATTCCACTCACTGTAGGGTTATAGTGAGAAATCAAGAGTCTGGCTGGTCAATGGTATGAACATTTAAGTTGATACATGAAGGTATGAGGTATGAAGATGCAGGATGAAAGATATACTCAGTAATTATAGTTTTGCAAACGTTGGCCAGACTTAGCCTGAGTCTGCAAGTTCTGCATCTTTAAAAAAAAGATGAAGTAGGAAACAATCTTTAAGAATCATTATCAGGAAAATATTGAAATATGACTTCAATGGTGGACACTGCCCATGCAGACAATTTTTCCAGCATCTATTCACTATATATAAAACAAAGAATGTAAAAAGGGATTTCAATGAACCATTTGGAAATATTTGGAACTACAAATTTGGAAATATAAACAGAAAAATCAAGCTATCCACTGATTTTTTTCAAACATTTCTGAATGACCAAAGTCCACATTTTGTCCCTTTCCCAAATAACCTTCTTACGATCACAGAAAGTAGGGAAGCATACCAAGATGTTATGTGACATTTAAGCCCCCCCCCCCCCTTAGAAAGGCCCTTCTTATTTTCTAGCCCCAATTTATCTCATAAGGACCTCCATTCATGATCAAAGACAGAATGCAATATTAAGCAAATGTCCCATCAAGTGCCCCCCCCCCCCACTTTTATTTCCCCTGAAAATTACCCTTCTCACTTTCAGTTAATCAAAACTATATATTTCTTTTGCCTCTTTTCTTATCACTTCAACTTTGTAACATTTCAAGAAGGAAGTATGCAAGCAATTGTGTCTCATTACCGCTGTATAATCTTGTCTTCACACTCTCAACGTGCCTCGTTTAAAAGGGGAACCAACCATAAGAGCAAATTTATACATGATTAATGCTGCAGGGAAAACATGAATGAAGATTCTTTCTCAAATTGGCAACAATCCATCATTCTGCGTTAAATACTCGATAATGCATATTAACGTGTGTGGGTAATCCATCTCAAAAAACTATATGAAGTATCGCTATCATTTCACAACTTAGCCCCTGAATAATGCTGCAGAAACAATTAAAGATTCTTCCTCAAATTGGCAACAATCAACTCTCCAAACTCCAATGTAAGATCGCAATACACCAGTTTACAGTTGTATCAGTGCGCATGCGCAGACAGTTGATCTCGGGTCACTGGCCCCGGAAGCGGGGTCAGTGGCCCCGGAAGCGGGGCCAATAACTTTTGACCAGTGGTATTTATGCGTAAATTAAGATTGCGCCCATGCAAATGATGATGTGCGCGCACAACGCAGCGCGTAGGGCAGTGATATCATCAAAATTTGCATGGGCGCAATCCTAATTTACGCATAAATACATGACCTCTAGGTCATTGGCTTTGTTTAAAATGGCGCACACAACTGTAAACTGGTGTATTCACACCCAAAATCCTGCACAGAAAAAGGCTGCAGATACAAAATCAATACAGCTCATTCTTCAAATTGGCAACAATCAACTCTCCAAACTCCAATGCAAGATCGCAATTCACACCCAAAATCCTGCACAGAAAAAGGCTGCAGATACAAAATGAATACAGCTCATTCCTCAAATTGGCAACAATCAACTCTCCAAACTCCAATGTAAGATCGAAATTCACACCCAAAATCCTGCACAGAAAAAGGCTGCAGATACAAAATCAATACAGCTCGTTCCTTAAATTGGCAACAATCAGCTGCACCTTTGAAGTTGTCTGCTGGGAGCAAGTGTTATATATCAATATACCGGTACTTGAAAACAGAGTTTAGCTCTCAGACATCAAATCAACAATGTAAACATAGAACCTGTACCTAAAACTGCTGCAACTACAGTATAAATAGCTTACTCCTTAAATTGTCCACAATCTGCTGTACCATTGAAATTGTCTGCTGGGAGCAAGTGTTAATATCAACATACCTGTACTTGAAAAACAGAGTTTAGCTCTCAGACATTGCATCTACAATGTACATGCAGCACCTCCACCTAAAATATGAATGCAGATTATTCCTCAAATTGGCAACACTCAGCTGTACCAACAACATCATGTTCACACCTGATACCCTGCTCACTCCATCATCTGCATGCCTTTTACCACCTCCGCATGATGGAATTTAACCGCCTTAATGACAGCATGGCTCATCCTGCTTTCAGACTGGTATCACTATGCAGTGATAAGTAATTAGGTACATTTTTTTCAAGTCTGAACATCGTATAAAGAAATATATGGCGAAATCTTGTATAGCGAAAAGCATCGTTCTTAAACAAAGACTTAATAAAGAATCAGGCTCCCATACTAGTCATCAACATCTTTTAGTATGAAAATCTCATACGTTTTTTTTTGTCTACCAAAAGATGACTTCATCCACGAGACACCATGCGGAGATACCATCAGGATTTGATGGGTTAAGGATTGAGCTGTCAAGACTGTTTTTCTATTAACTCAGTCAGCAGAGTTATTTCCCTTTCTTCTATGGTGAGATCTTGGTGATGATGATGAAGGTGATGGGAATGATGATGAGAATAATGGTGGT